ATTTAGATACTGTTGCTATGCCTTCCCAAGTTCTGTTTGGACTGACACAACAGACTTTTGCCCTTTTTCATGACTCATGGCTCATGCAGACGCTATGATGATCTCCTTCCTTTTCGCCCTATAAAATGATGAAGTTAACCTTGGCAAATAGTATTCCTGCCTGCAGACAAGCTGTCACTGCGTCCACTCTGTGAATAATGTCTTCTTCTGAAACACCAGACGTGAGGCCGGCTCCTGAGATCCGATCTCAGATGGAGAGCCCTCCCATTTGCGGAAATCCTGAAAACACGTGGTCAGAATTTATTTTGCTACTCTACATCCTTTGCTTGTGCTCTCATCTTCTCCTTGAGATGGTGTGTAGACGTATGGCTTGCCACAATACTCTTCCTTTCTGATAGCATTTGACTGTAGGCCTGGCATTACAACCGTCCACAACTAACTGTACGTGCTTCATCAGGAAAGTAAGACAGGCGCTGCTGACTTGGTACTGAGTCCATGAGAAATTCTAGTTCTTTTCGAGCCTCCTGAGCTGGACTCGGCAAAGTCAGTTCTATTGGAACGAGCTCTTTCTGTTTTAGTCGTTCCTTCATCCTGGCCCAAATTTAGCAATGCATCAGTGTCTACTTCAGTATCGCTAGAGATGCTATCGCCAGAGCCTCTGGCACAACTAGAAAACTCTTCTTCGTCTGTTTGATATTCGCTTCGCTTATGTCTCCTCCATAGCTCTCCATTATTCTAAACGTAAAAGAAACCTCGTAATAATTTCTCCGGATTTGTGTCACTTGAACTGCCTCGGCGCCTCGGTTGGGCATGCTTCACAAATGGCTTGTATACATTTACCTGACCACATCGCTACAATCATTATTACCCTTTGAGGCCCATAGTACGGATATATCCGTACCAGTGTACAGTGCATACTTTTCAAAGCGCAACCTGGCGTAACTCGGCCGTCCCTTGACCAAATCGGACAATCGAAAGAGCTATCGACATTAGAATTGTCTCGGCTATCGGCTCGAAAAACCCCGAAAGCGATCCGAGTTCGGAGAGCGGAGATACGAGACTCGAACTAAATTCGCTCAGCAGATTCAACTCGAGCGCGTGCATTTTGAACTCGTTTTTAGGGGTTTTCCCTGACTCGCGGCCCACGCAGCTACAGATAGTTCACGTCATCGCAAAGGCATGTTTCTCAGCTCTCCAGTAAAAAATTTTGAGCGATCTGGGATGCAATTAAATTAATTTGTTGAAATGGCAGAGAATTTGAGTTGGGCGCTCGCAATGCTGGCTTTGGAGCGCCGTATCGCGCTGCGGCGCTGGTTCTGTGGATCGAGTGATGTATTGCTGGCTATCGCGGTGTTCCTCTGGCCAAGAGCTTTCCAGAAAGCCTAAGATCACCAAAATCGGCCAAAGGACACCAAAGTTACGACCAGATAAGTACCCGGGCTCGCGTATGCAGTGCATTTCTTGAAATAATTGTGGGCCCTAAAGGGTTAAACGTTTTTATGTAGCAATAGTTATGTAGCGTTAGTGCTAAAGGTGTTACGTGTCTACACAAGCACAAACTCATGCGCCGGTACAATGCATAGTGCTCAAATGCCCGGAATGGGCGGAGCGTAGTACGCAAGAGGTACACAAAAGGAGTAAAATAGGGCTGTTTCGTTGTTACTCAGAGTTTCATGGCAAAAACCAATCATCAGACATCATCTCATGATCATGATTGTAGCCGATTGTTGCCAAAAACCTGGGATTACCCGATAACCGATATTATCCACTTTGAAACTCGCTATGCCGCTCAAACCTCACATAATGCTCGTTTTGTTCCTTTCTAATGCCGGCAATATCCGCTGGACCCTAGGACTCATGATCATGTGGCGTTTGGCTCCAGCTTAGCGCCCTGCTCTTGAGTAATCACCAATACGTGAGCAGCTAGCTAAGGATCACCTGGCCTTTCCGAGTGTCTGCAGAAAACCTACACGCCTACTGGTACCATGGTGGTGAGTCATTTGCATGTTTAGCGCCACAACACTGTGACGTTATTATTAGCTAATGAGGATATTGTGGGACGTGCTCGTCATACTGGCATCTCATTCCCAATGCAAACTACTTCAAGCACTCATGGGCTGACAGATACTCGTATCAACCTGCATCCTCGGAACAATATCCGAGTTCCCGCATCCGACAAAAAAGCGGGAATGTTGTGTAGTCGGAAACACGCGGTGAGTAATGCGTGCGTGTATGAGTGTGTGCGTGTGTTTGTGTATGTGTGTGTGAAAAAGAGAGAGAGAGAGAGAGAGAGAGAGAGAGAGAGAGAGAGAGAGAGAGAGAGAGAGAGAGAGAGAGAGAGAGAGAGAGAGAGAGAGAGAAAGAGAGAGAGAGAGAGAGAGAGAGAGAGAGAGAGAGAGAGAGAGAGAGAGAGAGAGAGAGAGAGAGAGAGAGAGAGAGAGAGAGAGAGAGAGAGAGAGAGAGAGAGAGAGAGAGAGAGAGAGAGAGAGAGAGAGAAGAGAGAGAGAGAGAGAGAGACAGAGACAGAGAGAGAGAGAGAGAGAGAGAGAGAGAGAGAGAGAGAGAGAGAGAGAGAGAGAGAAGAGAGAGAGAGAGAGAGAGAGAGAGAGAGAGAGAGGAGAGAGAGAGAGAGAGAGAGAGAGAGAGAGAGAGAGAGAGAGAGAGAGAGAGAGAGAGAGAGAGAGAGAGAGAGAGAGAGAGAGAGAGAGAGAGAGAAGAGAGAGAGAGAGAGAGAGAGAGAGGAGAGAGAGAGAGAGAGAGAGAGAGAGAGAGAGAGAGACAGAGACAGAGAGCAGGAGCAGAGACAGAGAGACAGAGAGACAGAGAGACAGAGAGACAGAGAGACAGAGAGACAGAGAGGAGATGTAGTGAACGAGCAAGTGGTACGCCAGATAAGGAGAAAGAAAATTAGAAGGAGGTGCCGCGGACTTCAAGGGGAGAACAACGACGAGGAAACGGAGTCAAGAGAATGGGCATCGAAATGAAGGAGGAAGATAGAGCTGTCCGAGCCTGTGTCTAATTAACTACCCCGGCGATGGTCATAATTACACCTTTGCTACTATACTAGCAATTGCATACCGATAGTGGGGAGGGGGCCGGAAGGGTTTTCCATTGTTGAATCGTACTCCTGTTGTAGAACACTGACAAGTACAGTGTGGCAACTGAAATCCGACCCCTCGGATTTCAGTTGCCACACTGTACTAGTGGTGTAACAGTAACTACATTATGTAGTATACTGTTCATCTGGACAGCGTCTGCAATGACGTACATGTACATCAGAGTGTGGTATGTACATGTCACTGAATATACAAGTACATGTACATGACTTTGTACATTATTGTACAAGACATGTACAGTGTAGCTATCAAAAAGTATCATACATTTATTTTGCAGTATGAGGAACATTCCCATTCCCAAGAGCTACTACACTACACTGACACACGTGGCAGTACGGGCACTTCGACTTTTGGGGGCATAACTGAATGGGTGAATTCCATGTGTGAAGTGCCTGTCACGGACTCAAGAGAAAAATGAAGTGTGTGCCAAGAATTTCTGGGGAATCCATATCCCCATGCAGTACTGGTACAAGACTCAAGAGAATGGAGAAGCTGTGAGCTACAATGGTGTCAGCCATCACTCAGCACTTGATCAACTGATCAAGTGCCACCACCACTGCAGAAGAGCGGAAGACAGGATCGTGTCACACACGGTGGGGTATAAAGTCAGAGGATAACGCACCTCTTCAGCGACTACCCATCACATGCACAAGCTCCTAGTCCTAGAAGTAGAAGGCCAGATCCTGACTACTGCAAGACAGCACTCAGTACTGTACTGTAGTCATGTACTAGTTTTCGCGAGGCGTTTGTCGCGCTGGAAACGGAGCGTCTCTGTAAGTTTGTATCCCTGGTGATATTACTGGCGAGCACTGTGTAACTATAACTTAGCCTATTATACTGAGTATAACAGTTACTAAATACTAAGTCTTTATACAAGACAGCGGTGCTCTTCACTACATGCATCATTGCATGTACATGTACTTGTACTTGTACATGTATCGTCCTTCAAGCACAATCTTCCTCGGCCTACTCAGAGTCATATCAAGCTCAAGCCAAGGCTGACGAGGCGTCCCGACGCTGACTGTGCATTGAGCAGGGAGTGGTGCTTTATTGCAGGTGTGCCGAGTCGAAGGTTCGATGGACTTCTCGTGTGCTCTGGATCAGTGGATGGCAGTCGTGAGTCGGTCAAGTGTCAAGTAAGTCGGCGGAAAGGCGTGAGCTCCTGTGTGGGGAAGCAGACCAGGCAGTCGTATAAACGACTCCCATGGAGTGGAGCAAACCCTTTCCTATGCTACAAAAGTCATTTTACATGACTTGTGCTAGATGCTATGTATGACCAGGTGGCATGCATGGTAATGTATGCTAATGTATGCTGGCGCCATCATAATAATTATTAGTTCAATGATGTCTACATGATTGTATACAATGCGTCACTCCGCTTACTTCAAACTCAAGTCTTGCTTCTTCAGTTCTTGGTCGCATAAACCGTGGAACAGACCATGGTAAACAGCTCGACCATCACCATGATCACCATGATCACAGTCTTGCACATGCTGTCAGTCACAGACATGATGTATGATGTAGTCATTGCAACAGTACAGTCATTTCAGTGTTATTCAACTTATACTTTTACATGCTGACATTGCCATTGGTGGTAATCAGGGAGTCGTATAGGTATACGACTCCCTGGTGGTAATGTTGTTGTAACACCGCGCCATGTCAGTCAGGAACCGGAATGCGTCCGCCGCGAAGTGTGTCACTTGACTTCAGTACTTACACAGCCAACATGGCCAACAAGAGACACCAGTCCATGGGATATGGACCAAGTGCCACAGCGAGGACTCCTGCAGTTCGGCACGTACAATGATACATTTGGCTATCCGGTAGGTGGCATCCCCATGCTCCAAGACGCTGTGTCCACCATACAATGTTAGCTCACTGGATCAGCAAATCGTACTACAATCATGTATATCACGGATCACCGAAGTGATAGCAAGAAAGTGAAAGACTTGTAGCTGAGATTCCACGTTTATCTCCCATGCGCGGTTTGAGAATTTGAGATACATGCATCCTGGTCAATACCATTGACTTTCAAACACTTATCCTCTCTTCCCCTGGCCACTTTTCCGATCTGCTGCATGCGGCCTGATCGAGATTGGCGAAAGCCGATTCTGAAATGAAAGCTGTTCGTTTCGAAAACGTGTAGGCGTTCGGCCCACCGTCGACAGGACTGGGCGACCACTTTGATGCAGCTCTGACAGCTTTTGGACAGCTAAAGCTTGGGATCAACGGCTGAACCATGGCCAAGGGCACAAAATGTCACTCTAAGGTCGGCTGAGAATCGCAGTCAAGGCCCAAAAGTGTGAAAGAAAACGTCCTTCTACTAGTGTCAGTAGTACAGGCTAGCCATGCCATCCGATCCAGCTGAGAGCGCAGGCCACAACTAATAATCATGATGATATTATAATATCACACAACAGTGGACACGCTACAGCCCACTCTACTCGTTGGACGTGTCCATACCTGCGTCCTGGGGCACTAGCCGGGACATACCGTATCAAGCAACATGTAAACTGACCTCCAACGCACCTGCATGTGCGCTTGGTTGTTCTCTGTTTTTACAAAAACACAACGCCCAGCCTCTGCTACGGCATTCATTCGTTTCGGCCAGCCTGAGAATGGAGATGGTTCTGCTGTTGCTTTGGTCGTTCGCCTTGTAGAGTGGTCCCGAAGTCCTTACACATGGTGAGTGGTGAGAGCCCAGTCCTCTCTTTTCCTTCCGCTAGCTGTTGTGTAATCTGGTCTCTTCCTGGTGTGACGGTGTGCTCGTGGGTGAGTTACCCCGACTCGGTTCGAGAGTCTCGGAATTTTGTCTACACACAAAGCCAACCTCCAGCTCTCTCAGTCGTACGAGGCCGAGGACCAGGGGAGTTTGAGTAAAGACAGCTTGAACTATTTGGAAGTAAGGTTGTTGGTCGCTGAATTGTGAAGCTCAGGCGCAGTAGGGAGGCCCGCTTTGCGGTATGCTGATACTCCCTCAAGCGTTTGCGGCGAGTGCTTGTGGATCGAAGTAGCTTACGCACTTCCCAGCTTCACTGCAACATTGACCGGCACAGCTAGCGGTGGAGCAGAATACGGAAACGTGCTGCAGACTGTGCTTACGGCCCATCCGAAACTGGAAAGAATCGACTGGATTTTCGAACACAAACGTTCGGGCCACCGCGACGCAGCTGAGCTCGGAGTCATCATAGTTGTCAGTAGTAGTGGATTTGTGCAATCCTCAGCTGGACGGAGGCAGCGCCGTGATCATGTCTATATGTAGCAGACTACAAGCAGTGGCTGCGTGCTACCTGATGGTTGCTGCGACGGTGTGGATCCAACTACCACTCCAAGCTGTTGCGCAGGGAGATGCCAACAATGGCGGACAACCATGTGAGTACAACAGTCAACATGCATTGTACAATCATGTGCATGATATGAGCCAGCGACTACTGTGACGTGCATGCAGCCATACATTCACTTACTTATCTGTAAGTGCAAAGCCACTACTGCCTACTGGCAAGTAATTAGTTCATGCGGATCCTAGGATAGCGGATGTTCTATGTGCTGTGGCTGCTAGCTATGGTATGGTATGGTAATAAATAATAATAATATAATATGGTATTGATTTATTTGAATTCGGTATCTCAACAGTACAATGTACAACTTGGGAAGATCCGAATGACATAGATACATAAACATAAAAGTGGAGTAGGTGCTACAGCGGATCATTTTATCGCAGGTTGTGGGACTAAACTAATACCAGTATGCAAGTACACAAGAAATAAAAGCTGAATAAATATGTCTGCATGACATTGGAGAAAAGCACCAATTAGAGCATGATTGTGCGTTTGTGCACAAAGATGTCTGAATCTTACCCTTAGTAAAGGCGGTACTCCTAAGCTGTCAGCTAGCATTGGTGTACAATCATGGGATGGGGAATGCAGCGGGCAATGTCCCTGAAAGGGTCTTGTTTTCCGTCAAACTGTGAACCATCCCACCATGGTGAAAGCCTCACACGGGTATCTGGCAAGGGTGCCTGTGGAAGTATGTTTGCTGCATTAGAGAATGGTCCGTGACCCAGAATATGTGTGCTACTAGTGGGTGCAGTGACAGAAAGAAAGTAGCATCAACTCTGGCATCGTGTTGGAATCATGAGGCGCAGAGCCTTGTGGTGGAGTAGTATGTCCGGCAATTTTGAAGCAAATTGATTTGCGGGTTTGAACCGGCACCGCCAGGTTTCTATGCTGTCGCCCGATGTGCAGAGGCAGCTAAGATACCTATTTGACCATTGATGGTCAAAAACTCGCCGTCATCATGGCGTGTGTATTTTGCTACTAGTACTTCAAAGCAATGGCACTGTCTTTCATTGCAAGGAAAGGTTGGATCCTCTGTGCCAACAGTCTGCTTGTTGCGTTGGTGTTAATGGGTTGAGATTTGAAAACAAAACAAAACATTCAGACACATGCTCCGTGTGTACAAGATTGTGCAATTGCACTGCAGTATTGTAACTGTTGCTGTTGTCCATTTCTCATACAGTGTTACAATAACTGCATTGTTACTTTCCCCCCGGTTACACGTGTAGATGGGTCGTCTGCTCGCAATATGCATCGACAAGCTGATACAATCAGCCACCCACTCATGATTCGCCAGTGCATGGGTATCAAGCGACGGTGTTGTCAGTGTGATTGGCACAGTATTGACAATGTCTGTAGCCAGAGGGCCTAGCTACCAGTTATGTCGTGGCGTGTCTATAGAGGTACACGGTGCAGCAGCTGCCCGTGTACAAGGTCGAGTGTGTGCGTTCATCATGCAGTCATGTAGTCGCTTGTCCTAGATAGTCCTGGGAGCAGATAGTCCTGACTCCTGGGAGCACGGAGTCCTAATGAGATGTTCCTTATCAGTGAATCCAACAAGCTACCTATAGACCTGTGTGTGTATGGCTGGATGTGGTGTGTGCATCGACATACGCATACTACTACTTGACGGTTGACTAGCCTAGGAGTAGGAGTAGGAGGACTTTGAGTCTGATACCTGACATCAGATTGAGAAGGCTGCCAAAGCAGTCGTGAAATGTTGTGATCTCTCGACGATGACGTGACACCAGTGTCTCGAGCAGATGAGACAATACACCAGATCTTGTCTAAACCGTGGACCTGCTGTTGTTTGCCGAGCCTGCTTCTCATGATCACCGATGTGTGGGCGTAGGCTCATTATGACGATGCTCGCCAGGAGGCAGGGAAATGCGTCATGCGTCTCCTTGTTAGATTGGTGCTGTGTGGACGTGTGGTCGTCCATATGTGGTGAGGTGATGTCATCACGATGTCATCACGATGTCATGAACAATCTGGTCCTGCTTGACAGTCCTGGACTCATGGCTTGACGGGGATGGCATACAGTGCATCAGAGTGACTGTATGTTGACTTATGTATTTCATACAGTTTTATTGATTTCTCCTCCCACATTACATACCGGGAATGTGTAATTCCCAGTCACAAAGGGGAGGAGGAAAGCCAACCACGGCTGATAAAGCATATAGAAAAAAAGACGAAAAAAATGTTACTAGAAGCCGGGGAATACTAGCAAAGTGAAACAATGGGTTTCCTCCGAGGCATTTGAAAAGAGAGCTTGACGGAAGAAGGAAGAAAAGACATGCCAAGAAAGAAAGAAAGAAAGAAAAATCCGGATATACCGGTAATAGTATGATACCCAGGGTCGTAGGACACGGTCCAGCCGGTCTGGCTATGTCCAGACCTAAGGTCGGGTTCTGTCCAGACCTAAGGTCTGGTTCTGTCCAGACCTAAGGTCGGGTTCTGTCCAGACCTAAGGTCTGGTTCTGTCCAGACCTTGTTATGAAAAAGGTCGCTGACTTAGCCGATTTTTGACTTTTGGCCAATTATGTTTATCTCCAGCCTGGTATCCCATTTGGCCGGACCACCTGTTAATAACTTCTGTCCCAAGAGAGCATAGCAATGCTTGTATACACATACACTCATTGTACATAAGATTATGGTCTGAATGTGTAGCTGTATTCGATATTCGGTTCTCCGTTTCTGTGATGTCATCCCTTCCAGCTTTCAACCCTGCTGTCTGGTGCTGGGTGCCATTAAGTATCTCTGAATGCTCCGTAACCTGTGGCAACGGTACTCAAACCCAGACCCAATCATGTGACTTAGTGAAGAGATCGCTACTGGAGAGAGACGTGGACACGTGCACTAGAGCTGTGAGCAATGCAACGGCTGGTCTCGCTGGCTCACCTGAAACTGCCAGTGTTGGTAATGGCAGTGTTAGTGTGGCGGATGTGGTGTGCTCAGAGCAGGATGTTGGCAAGCAGCGCACAGTAGTACAGTCCTGCTCGGCAGGAGATTGTCCTATAGGTAAGCTAGTACAGCTGTATAGTGCACTGTTATCTGTAACTGTGGAAGAGGAGGACATGTACTCCCCCCCCACACACACACACCATGTACCATGTACCATGGCCCCCCCCCCCCCCCCCCCCCCCACACACACACACCTCAGACCTGCCCATCGCGGAAGCGATGATAGCGCACAGCTATGTTAGACATAGCAACTTGTGCTGGGAGTACACCATTCAACAGCTTGCAAGGCTGATGAATTGACCGCCACTAATTTCAGCCTGGTATCCACCACACAGCTGATTGAAGTGGCTTTTTCTGGCCAGTGAATCCCTACTTTTTGGTCTTTTTCATTTTTTTACACACACACGCCACACCACGTACTCCGGCATACACTGGCTGTTGGTAACCACCCAGGAAAATGAAAGAAGAACTAGGAGAATGAGAAAGAGAAGAAAGACGTGTGCGACCCCCCCCCCCCCCCCCCCACACACACGTACACACACACGCACACACGCGCAGCCTGTCGCCTTCTCCTTCCCTGCTCAATTTGGAGGTGTGTGTATGTTGATCCAGAGTGGGAAACATTGCGATAGCTAAGAGTACTAGCCACCACACTGTTCCCTCTCAATGGCTTGCCCACCTACATGTACATGGAGGGGAATACATGTATGTATGTATGTATGTATGTATGTATGTATGTATGTATGTATGTATGTATGTATGTATGTATGTATGTATGTATGTATGTATGTATGTATGTATGTATGTATGTATGTATGTATGTATGTATGTATGTATGTATGTATGTATGTATGTATGTATGTATGTATGTACATGTATGTACAGTAAGATCGGGCGCCGAAGAACACCTCGCCGAAGAACACCCAGGCTGGAAAACCGGCAAAATTTAAGAACAGTCCAGGCTAGAATTATCAAATTTAAGAACACTAGATCTACATTGTACGTAGATCTACATTGTACATGTATGGGAGGTGAGTACATGTCATGTACACGTGTAAACAGTAACTGCTACATGTACAGTCATTCCCATTTACGACACCCACTAGTTTAGAAGTACTACATTGCACTACATGTACTTGTACATGTACATGTACATGACAAACGTCATGACGTCACTCGACTCGCCGCGCGCGTGTGAATAAGAACGGTCTGGCTAGAATCAAAAATTTAAGAACTTTCCTAGGCTGCGCTCGAGCCCCTGCGTTCTTCGGCGCCCGATCTTACTGGATGTATGTATGTATGTATGTAGGCAGCTCATAGATACTGGGCTCAGGGAATGGGAAACCATTGCTTAAATTCTCCCCGTGCTCTGGCGAGTACACGTGCCGATTGGTGGAGTTGTTCTGATTGAAATAGACACTACACGCCATCACATAGTAGCCTAGTATCAGTACGTGTGTTGTCTCACTGAACCACTGAACCACTGAACCTCGCACAGAGCATACCTGGACCATTACATTACCCCTTGCTAAGTTAACGTTCTGCCAGGCTGCCCATGTATTGGGTGTTTTGGTGTTAGGCTGACTGCCTAACCTTCTTTCCTTCTCTCTCTCTTATCTCTCTCTCTCTCTCTCTCTCTCTCTCTCTCTCCTATCTCTCTCTCTCTCTCTCTCTCTCTCTCTCTCTCTCTATCTATCTCTCTATCTATCTATCTCTCTATCTATCTCTATCTCTCTATCTCTCTCTCTCTCTCCCTCCCTCTCTCTCTCTCTCTCTCTCTCTCTCTCTCTCTCTCTCTCTCTCTCTCTCTCTCTCTCTCTCTCTCTCTCTCTCTCTCTCTCTCTCTCTCTCTCTCTCTCTCTCTCTCTCTCTCTCTCTCTCTCTCCTATCTCCTACCGTTTTCAGACTTTATCTTTCCTCTTCTAACTGTCAAAGCTTGCGGCAGAATCTGACTGACTGGAATGTATTGGTTGTGTATTGTCTTATTCAGACTGTCAAGCAAGCAACGACAGCAATATCAACTGGCCCCGGGTGCCGGTGGGTCAGACTGTCCAGCTGCCTTGTCCCGCTGTGCCCGGCTATCTCGCACCGCCGAGAACCGCTCCAGATGGTAATGCTGTGGCCAGCCGTCGCTGTGTGCTGGATCAGAAGACCAGCCTCGGGGTGTGGCAGCAAGTGGACGTCAGTAGGTGCGGCCAGGACTTGCAGTTGTATTTGAGACTGCAGCGGCTGAGACAAGTAAGTGCTGCTGCACGTCATATTTCGTGAAAGGTGCAGCCAATAGCTCTGGATATTGTTGAAAGAGGGAAACACTGTGAAGATTGAGGGTAGTTGTGAGTTTTGGAGCACACAGAACACATTGTTGTCATCTATGATCTGCAATCAACCTTGTGAACAACGCCCTCGAACATAACAGCAACCCGTGAGTAACGATAGAAGCTAACCTCACGAATAACGACACTTCTCTTGTGCACGGTCGAGGGTCATCATTCACAAGGTCAGCTGTACTTGAAAACACCGTCATTCCGGCAACAGGCTCTCAGCTGCACCAAATAAATAACTTTGCCAATATTTCGCCCACTGGGCATCATCAGGGCATTGAGGAAGGGGAGGCAAAACACGAAAGAGAGCCTGAGAGCCTGTTGCCGGAATGGCGGTGTTTTCAAGTGCAAGAAATACGCTGCAATGGAGTTTGGGAATTCTGAAGAAACGTCAACTGTACTGCATGGTAAACATACTCCAGTCTCTCTGGAGGCGTGGGTTCAAATCCCACCGCTGCCGCCATTGTAACACGCATATTCTGAAAGCACACAGCTACGGATTGTAAGTTGCTGTTCATTCATTCACATGGAGGAGAAGAAGACAAAGGCAGTGCGAGTATGAAGACAAAGGCAGTGCGAGTATGAAGACAAAGGCAGTGCGAGTATGAAGACAAAGGCAGTGCGAGTATGAAGACAAAGGCAGTGCGAGTATGAAGACAAAGGCAGTGCGAGTATGAAGACAAAGGCAGTGCGAGTATGAAGACAAAGGCAGTGCGAGTATGAAGACAAAGGCAGTGCGAGTATGAAGACAAAGGCAGTGCGAGTATGAAGACAAAGGCAGTGCGAGTATGAAGACAAAGGCAGTGCGAGTATGAAGACAAAGGCAGTGCGAGTATGAAGACAAAGGCAGTGCGAGTATGAAGACAAAGGCAGTGCGAGTATGAAGACAAAGGCAGTGCGAGTATGAAGACAAAGGCAGTGCGAGTATGAAGACAAAGGCAGTGCGAGTATGAAGACAAAGGCAGTGCCAGTATGCGCACAGCTCACTATGAATACCTACAGTGTACTATTTATGTGTTTAATACTCATCACACATGTCATAAAGTACCCATACTCCCTGTCCATACTGCATACTCACGCTAGTATCATGATATCCACAGTCTAAACTTCAGTTGTGCTGACCTGCTTCTCTACCCTACAGGATGCCTTGGGAATAACTCCCGCGACCGCTCCAGGCATCGGTGCTCGACTCCGAAACCTCACCAGCGTGAATTCACCTGCCTTCAACTTTGTCCATGTCAACCTGGCTACGGATGTCGCTGAGCAGCTAGCCAAGGTCATTGGGGAAATCCCCAGCACATCCACAAGCAGCATCAACAAGGTGAGTGTGTCGTGACAGGGCATCGCGACCTCTGCCTGGCTGAACACCGGGAGCAAATCCATAGGCATCATCCGTACTGCCGAGATTGGAAGGAGTGCACAGGAGGAAATAGGATTTGTGGGGCTAAACTCCCCCTCACGGTAATCTGGATACGTATGTTAGCCGTACTCGATCAAGATGCGTAATCGTTAAAGAACCTGTGTAGTTGGCTGATTTTCCTGTAGGGCGCACTCCACGTTAAATGAAACCTAGCTTAACCCCGACTAGCACATACTAGCACACTATGGAACATATGACTGCACGTCCTGTGGGCTTTGAAGTATCAAGAGCCGGGAATGGTATGCTTGATGTTCATAGTCTGTATCCGCGCTCGCTTTTGTTGTGTTCAGCTGGTCAAGACAACGGTGTTTGCGGTGAGCGACCTGGTCAATGTACCCCTGGACAGCCTTGTCACGGCTCAGCTTATGTACAACTCTAGTGCACGGTAAGGAACTGGCGGGTAAAGTATGGTAGCCATGTACTGTTGCCGTGGTAATCGGTCTGACCATGCTGACGGTGCTGACGGTGCTGTGTCACAGACTATCACAAGGCCACTATCCCTTAGAGATGGCCCAGAAGACATTCAAGTCAATGCTTCCGCTTCTGATTTAGAGAGTTTGTAGAGAACGCTTTTCCTTCCGGGGAAGTGAAAGAGGTAGGTTGTGTCGCTCCCAACCATTGCGAGTATCTCTTGCAGCGTTCCAAGTGAATGAGTCCCAAGACTTTGTACTGATGAACACTGAACCATGGCTGCTACCCACTCAATATGTCTAGTGTGTGTATTCACCCAATAGACTGGCAGCAAGAAGCATTCTGTGCGGGAGACGGTATGTTCACGTTTGCTTACACACCCCTCTATCATCTTCACCCATACTCCTGCGTGCCACAAACATGCATGCCAACGCACACCTGGTTCCCATGCCAACGCACACCTGGTTCCTATATTGACATGACAGACTCAGTGTACATCTGTCTCACTGCAGGCTCTTGGAGGTGGTTGACAAATCGACGAGCTCTGTAATACTACAGTCACCTAGCTCTACAATGGATATCCGTGGTGCTAACATCAACGTTCATCTGCAGTGTCTGGAGCATCGTGTCTTAGCTGAAGGCAATACCGGCTACTCATCCAGTCAAGTGTCAATGCCAAAGTTTTCTCTAACTAGGACGGTGTTTCCTGCTAACTTCCCGTTAGCTGAAAGCAGTGCAGCTATCAGTCAACCTTGTCAGGGTCGTGTTCTGCAAGTCGCAACATTCAGCAATGCAAAGCTCTTCAGCAACGGAAACAACAACACTGACGCTAGCGTGCCTGTGAGGCAGGCTGTTGCGGCAGTGTCGGTCGGCAGCCAGGTGGTGCATGGCTTGGAGTCACATGTGCAGCTGGAGTTCGCCGTTCCTGATGCCAAGGTATTGAACAGCTGCATCATGCATAGCACACAGCCCATTGCGCTGCTGCTGCTGCTGCTGCTGCTGCTAGTGGTGGTGGTGGTGGTGGCGATGGTGGTGGTGGTACTGTTTCTATGAGATCAACAAGTGCAGGGGATCATGTTGTCCAAAAAAATAATGTACTCCATTATGCAGTGGCGAGGTTGTGCATGAGATTCGGCCGGTGTTTGTGTTCTCTGCTCAGGATGCATCTGAATTCTACTATTGCTCATTCTGGGACTTCACTGCCAATGGTAAGGAAGCAGTGGGTACCGTTGGGTGTGTTGGTATGTGGAGTTGTACAGGGATAGGGTGAGTGTATGGATGAAGAGCATAACAATGTTTACTCCTGACTGTATGAGGGAGTGTGTGTGTGGGGGGGGGGGGGGGGGAGGGCTCAAGCACCTAGCTTTTCATGGCACACATACATGTGTGAGTGAATGGTGTCCATGCACCACCAGTGGGATGCAGCGAGATCATCTCATTCCATGCACTGGTGGCCTTGAAGTGGATATCAACAAAAGTAGCTCATGTGACATGGAATTCAGATTCATAAATGTCTAGCCGATGGCACCAGTACCGGAACACATGTTGCAACAGGCGCTCTCCTTGTTACTGTCTCTTCTTATGGTTGGTGTTACCATTCAGATGGTCTTGGTGGTTGGAGTCGACAAGGCATCACCGACCTTGTGTCCAACACGCCTGGTGTACACCAGTGTTCAACTAACCACTTGACCCACTTTGCCATCTTGGTTGTAAGTCACTCTCTCACACACACCATGACTGTAGTCACGTGCATGTGTACGTGTATGCTTACACCAGCATGACAAGCAGCACATTAAACTCTGGTGGTGATAACACAAATGCCGTGGAGGATCATTACTTTGTACAAATTGCCTGGAGTGATAAGTATGCTGATGATGGTGTTGCACTGTACTCGTGACAGTTATGCATCTTTGCCTGGCCTAATCCCACTGGTTCCATATTGCTGTCGACGTTGCCTTCATTGTTGCTGTTGCTGCTGTTGTTGCTTCTGCTAACTATGATATTGTCATTACCTCTGCCATGAGTCCATGATCATATTCATCAAAGTTTGTTTATCTCCACACAGGGTGTTGGTGAAGATCCAGTGGATGTACCCGTGTCCCTGTCCATTGTTTCCGTGATTGGATGTGCTCTATCCATGGTCGGCGTCATAGCTACCTTCGTCACAATGATGCTCCCGTGAGTATTGCGCCATAGCCTATACTCGCTTACTACATGTACAGTCAGACCTCGCTTATCCGGATCCCTCGCCATCCGGAAGAAAAGAGCTGGTTACAGATGTACAGCATATGTGATGGATCCAACATAAACGTAGTTCAGTTATCCGGTTCCCTAGCCTATCCGGATAATTTTTGTGGAAAACGGATGTGTGCGGTTAAGCGAGGTCTGACTGTACTAGCTGCTAAAGTTGACCTCTGACTACTATCGTAAAGTACTGTTGATCCGCCCCAACGGTACAGTACGATAACTGCACATGTACATACAATCCAGCGCACTTGGCAATACGTAACATGCTGCCTTTCCAGCTACCAGTGTCCACCCGACATGCTTGCTGTGTTGGCTGTTGCAAAAGCACTTTCCCTACCATCATACCCAGTTCATGCCCCGTGTGCATCACACTCTTCTTCCTATTACACTTCGATATCAAGCACAACACATCAACCTCAGATTGGCCACGGTGACTGGTGCAAAAACAAGGCATACATACATGTATGCTACAGCATTCTTCTGCGCCACCACTATGACACCACTACGACACCACTAAGACACGTTGAGGACTATCACGCAAATGTGCTTGCCACAATGTAGTGCACCATCCAGGGATACACTCCCTCGCACACATTCATACCCACTCACATGCCCCCCCCCCCCCCCCCCCACACACACACACGTGCAAACACACAGTGCAAGCCTCCCCCCCCCCCCCCCCCCCCCCCCAGACTGTATGCTTCTATCCAAGATATCCATACAGACACAGTGGTAACTATGCAGAGTGAGACCCGCTGGGATACATGCCGTAACTATGCAGAGTGAGACCCGCTGGGATACATGCCGTAACTATGCAGAGTGAGACCCGCTAGGATACATGCCGTAACTATGCAGGCACAGTGGCGTACACTGTATATACCGTAGCCAATAGCCATGAAGAACATTTTTTCAAACGATACTTCTCTACTCGTACATTGTTCTCGACTGTGAATTTCAGAGACACCCGTCGCCAGCTGCAGGCTAGGATCATTGCATCGCTGTGCCTGGCAATCTTTGGTCTCTTGCTGCTGTTCATCGTTTCTGCCTTCGGCTCGTTGGCGGGTGACAGCTGCCTGGCAGTTGGGCTATTTCTTCACTACTTCCTTCTGGCATCATTCAGCTGGATGGTGATGGAAGGGGTGCAGATCTGTAGACTGATCATTGCCGTGTTTTCATCGGTGTCGGCATCGTCCAACAGGATCCTGGCCATCATGTCTGCAATATCCTGGGGTGAGGCACTATTGTTATACCAGTAATGGCTGACCTGCGTATCCGTGCTGCCTGCATGCAGCACTGACCACGTTTGTATTTCTCAGTGTACATGATGCCCTGCCTACCTAATCTGTTCTATGAACCAACGTTGCGTAACACATCCCTTAGAAGTGAGCAGCATGAGTCCGAGAGGATACCGACAATGCTCGTTGCAGCTGTTCAATGCGCATTGTAACTACTTCAGTACTTCAGTACATAAGGTACCTATCTAAGCTGTGCCCTTGTGTATTCTTGCTTTCTTGCTCCTCTGACCACCAACAGGCCTACCATTTCTGATAGTGCTCATCACAGCGGCTGTATCCAATGAGTCTTATCGCCGATCAGGCATGTAAGTATCAACTACCATGCGTGGTACTAGTACAAGTATTATTGCATTACATGGCGCTGTTTGAACTGTAGTTAATAATCGTTTGGTACCGTACATGTGAAAAAATGCAGCTAACTTAATGGCCTCTCTCTCTCTCTCTCTCTCTCTCTCTCTCTCTCTCTCTCTCTCTTGTTTGCACAGTTGTTTTGTACACGGCACAGCACTGATAGTCGGAGTCATCGTTCCACTAGCTATCATGGTGCTGGTCAATTCCGCTGTGTTCGTACTGGCTCTGCGGCGTATCATTCACCATCGAGAGCGGAAACGGAAATTATCACAAGACGCTGCATGTAAGACCACCCCCCCCCCCCCCCCCCCACACACACACACATACAAACGCATCCCCCTCTCGCCACTCCTATTTTACACCAGGCAGTTCCTCTGTGAATCAGCGGAACCGCTCATGGGCGCTATGTACACAGTGTGCGTCAGCAGATTTTTTAGTGTGCGCTAATTATGCAGCGTGAATCGCTAGTGCAAGTGCACCGCTGTGCCGTGAGCGATGCCCACAACTTTGCAAATGCATCTCAACCGATGATGTAATCACATCTCAACTGATGATGTAATCGCATCTCAACTGATGATGTAATCGCATCTCAACTGATGATGTAATCGCATCTCAACTGATGATGTGATCGCATCTCAACCAATGATGTAACCGTATAACCTCTATAGGCATGTTAGGGGGGTTGTAGTACCTGGAGTTCAGGTGCTCCGCTAATGGGATACTTGACCGGAAATGAACATTACTGTTGGAAATATGGTTCAGCCATTGGCAGACCGGCCGGGCCGGGTTATACGGCCCTATCATCTGGCAAAGCAGTAGAGAGGAGAGAGAGCGGAAATCTGCTGCTAATCCAGGTTTCACGATTTGCAATCAATAGGCAGCCTGTTGGCTGGTCATTTTGTCCGTGTGGGGTTTTTCCACAGCCGCATCCAAGTTCCAGGAGACGGTCAGTGACGTGAAGTCGGCCATGACATTGTTTGTGCTGCTTGGTCTGACCTGGGTGTTTGGCCTTGCCACACTCGACACTCAGTCTCTGGCGTTGGTCTGGATCTTCACAATCCTCAACTCCACGCAGGTGAGTACCGTGCATGTGCGTTTGCTACTGGATTTACCCGTGTAAATACTGGATTTACCCGTGTAAATCGCACTGAATTTTATAAGAAATCAAGTCAAGTCACACAATTCCATGACGACTACACCATAGCTCAGTGGTTAGAGCATCGCTGGCTACAAGCGAGGGTCCCTGGTTCGAGTCCTGGTGGTGACGGTCAATTTTTTTCTTCAGACTTTTCCCGTTTGTCTCATTCCCTCAAAACCAGTTAATTCCATGAGAATTTGGACTAAATCTACCCTTTTGGACTAAATCTACCCGTATCCATTGCCAAGTAAACTATAGTGCGCAGCTCACTTTGATTATTGAAAAACAATATTCAGTGGTTACATCATTCTTCAATGGGCGCTTTCGATTACACATCCTGGACCCAGGTTTTATAATTCTCGAATGAGCAGAATGAACGGATTGCGGCAATGTAAACAAACGACTACACGTGAAAGTCGTACTTCAAGTAAAAGGTGATCACGTGGGATCCCATGCACCCTCGCGCGCGCGCACGTGGGCCTACCCGAAATGTCTGTAATCGAACGCACCCAATGAATCCTAGAAGCTGCAATCCATGACTGAATCGTTACATTCTGTCAGTATGGCCTGTCACATCCGATGACTGTTCATCATACATTGATGTAGAAGATATGCTTCCAGTTTGGGGTTCCCAGATCGTACTAGTGTACAGAATTTCACAATCTTGTTAATATACACCCTTGCTGACACCCAGGAGCTTTCAGGAGAGAGGGCATGGAGAGTATTCCGGGCTACCGCTGGTACTCACCCTGGATTAGCTGGTGATGGTAGAGGTGTGTATGGCCGCACTGTGCATACCAGTGTACTTCTGCAAAGACATGTTTATTCATAGCTCTGTGTGTGTTTGCGGCTAATCTGTTTCTTGCATTTACAGGGATTATCGATCTTCATCGTACACGTTATACTGCGCACCAAGTCCAGAGCAGAGTGGAGGAAAGTGCTCGGCTTGAAGCCGACAGATGATAGCAAGGAGGATGTGTCCACGACTAGCGGTTGGTGGAATTCCGGCGGGTGGCGACGGCTCAGTACTCTGCGGCGCACGTTCAGCAACATCAGCACTCGCAGCAACAGCTGGGGTCAGCGACGCAAGGATGAGACAATGGCTGCTGCTGGTCAGTCTGCTGGCCAAACAGCCAGTGTGACTCTGTCTCAGTCCGGAAAACTCAACGCACAGGCCAGTACGTCGACCGAAGACGCCAATGGACAGTATAATCGCCTCTCCAGCATCCCAGCTTCAACTTCAAACAACAGCTATGGTTTGTCACCGGCCGGAGGTTCCTTCTACCGAGAGGACTCCATCGATGGCCAGGCACAACAGCCGAGCCGACAAACACCGACAAGTAGCAATGGAGTTGATAGCAGGCACAGTGACCACCATTCCAGCACACCCAGTCCTAGTTCATACCAGGAAAGCGACGTCTAAGAACACGTCCTGTCCCCCCGCGGTGCCATACACAAGGTATGAGTACTAGGCATCATCAGGTCCTTCCGAGTCTACCACTTGCTACTCAACACCGGGTGCTGAAATCGAGCAGCTGCTATCTTGATGCTTTCAAACAGCACCACCGGACACATTCCCAGAAAGTGTGTGGTCTCCAGTCTCCACGTTATCTTTCCTCAGGATCTTGATCATGAAATGATTCATTTTACTGCTATACGACTTGACATGATTAGACTTGACAACCAGATTTTTATTCCATTGTACATCTTGCTGATTTCAGAATTACGGCGGCTACATGTACAGTGTATTAGTTTCTCACAGAGAATTACAATTACAATTACAGTTACATGTACTTGTACATTTAAAACTTAATGATTATACTTGCATGTGCTGAGCATATGTGTGCGTGTGTAGACCCTATACAACTCCCCCACGTGCAGCTATTGAAAACTAGTAGTGTTCTCGTCGTTAGAAGCAGGGAGTAGAACACTTTAGTAAACTACCACCCCATGCTAAGTACATCACACGCGAGGACAATGATGGAACAGCAGCAGCAGCAGCAGCTGGGTTGAATGTGTAAGTCTGGATGCACATGCACTCACGGTCCACAAGACGCCTACGGCTTTCAATCACACAGCAGCAGAATCCTGGAGAGATTAGACGGCTAATGTGCTTTTCCAAGCAGTTGAGCACTGCACATGCATGCACGGACACACACACACGAACACGCACACACGCTCGATCGCATACATGCAGCAACTGCAGGGTCATCAGCATTGAAGGTTACAAATCAAGGACACTTTGCTCACCATATTCCGTCGACTATGGTATGTACGACTCACTACAAGAAAACACGAGAGCGAGTGCTGAAAAAACCCGTGAATAGTAATACTTCAGAAGTATAAAACAAGAATACTGGCAAAAAAAGCTAGCCATGAGGTTAAAACTTTTGTTTCGTTAAAAAAAGATCAAAGAATATATCAAACCAAGAAACACCCGCTGTGGAAATATCATAGCAAACAATAATTGCAACAGCCGCTACAGTCACTACAGGTACCACAAGCCAAACGACAGGACTAAATATTACAATCAGATAAACACAGGCAGACCTCGTGCTTGCAAACCGTAGGAACATGGCAGGCGAGAAATAGGATAATTAGCAGAGGGGGGGGGGGGGAGAGAGAGAGAGAGAGAGAGAGAGAGAGAGAGAGAGAGAGAGAGAGAGAGAGAGAGAGAGAGAGAGAGAGAGAGAGAGAGAGAGAGAGAGAGAGAGAGCTCACCGAGCGCATCACCACTAACATACGAGTAGAAAGGAACAGCAGTAACTGTTATTCGTCCACGATACAGCACCACGTTAAAAGAAAGAAGTTAAAGATGTGTGCTGTGCTGCTGCCATAGGAACATAGCGTTAGGGAAGAAGGTGACGAGTGCCAGAGCATGAGAACAACTGAGTACCTGTCAAGCTAACAACCACACAACCTAGCGTTTCCTTCTCCGGGCTGGTCTCCTTGCGCCCCCTGATGCAGCGCCTGCTGAGAAGGCGGCATTTGGTGTGGTAGAAGCTGCTCCTGTATTACCTGCTGCCCCTGGTGTGCCCTGGAAAGGCGGTGAGGCGAAGTTTGCAGCAGCGTTGGCGGCACCTCCAGGTGTTGTACTGTTCGTGCCGAAGTTGAAACCGGTTGCGGCCGCAGGTGGCGAGGCGAATGATGCGGCGCCGGCACCGCCTCCAAACATGCCCATAGCACCAGGCTGTGCTGCCGCTGCTGTTGACCCAGGTGTGCTGCCACTTGCAGCAGCTGCAAAGTTAAAGCCTGTAGTCGACGGTGCAGCAGCAGCCGCTGTATTACCAGGAGGAGAGAACATGTTGGTTGCGGCTGTTGTGCTGCCCCCTGCGGCAGAGAACAAACCACCAGCCCCCGTACCGGCAGTAGCAGCAGGTTTGTTTGCCTGTTGGGCAGCTGTGGAGAACAGAGAAGACGATTGAGCAGTCGGGTTTGACGTCGTCGCTGAGCCGAACATGGATGCACCCTGACCGCCTGTACATAGCGACAAGTCAACACACACTTGGCATGAACATAAGCACTTGAAATCTGGAGCACATGTAGTAGACTGTAGTAAAAGACTGCAGCAGCAGCAACAGCAGTGGAATAGTGAGTAGTACATGCACAGTGCAGTACAACACTAGGTTCTACATGCTGGACACATCAACAATAGGTTCTACATGCTGGACACATCAAATGGAGTCTGCGGCATGGTCTCCTGTTTGAGCAGGGTTCTAGCCAGCTTGAAAGTGAAGAGGAGCGGCTGCTGGGAAAGCTTGACGAGTATTACAAGAAAAGAACAGCTGCATTGCTCCATGGAGCACAGCATGATCATGTAAGCACAATGGCATTTTTACTCCACTACAGTAATGAGCCAGCCCAGTGATTTGCTTGTTAGTACCCACATGCACACAATGCATCCTGCACAGGGATTGTTAGTACCCACATGCACACAATGCATCCTGCACAGGGATTGTTAGTACCCACATGCACACAATGCATCCTGCACAGGGATTGTTAGTACCCACATGCACACAATGCATCCTGCACAGGGATTGTTAGTACCCACATGCACACAATGCATCCTGCACAGGGATTGTTAGCACCCACATGCACACAATGCATCCTGCGCAGGGATTGTTAGTACCCACATGCACACAATGCATCCTGCACAGGGAACACAAGGGTGTTGACTATTCAAACCATGCATTGTACAGGTGTACATGTGGCGCTTTAAATTATGGGGGGGGGGGGCAAAATACGAAAGAAGGTGCAGCGCCACGCTACGCTGCGTTGCCTACAGTACTGAAGAGCATGACACAGTACTCTTACTGTAAGGGTGTACACACCCAGAGCACACAGACACAGATACACACACAGATGCACACACAGATGCACACAGATACACACAAATACACACAGATACACACAGATACAAAGACAGATACACATTCTGCTGCGGCAACAGAAGAGACCCACAGACACTATTTCTAGAATCTAGATGCTGCTGCTGCTGACAGATACATAAAACCGCACACGCATGCATGCGCACAGACAGACGCATGCACAAGCAAAAGAATCCGGACTTACCTGTGGTCGCACCTGCAGCCGCTGCGAAATTGAAACCGGAGTTGGCCGAGGCGGCCGGTGCTGCAGCAGTGCCTGGACCTGGTTGATTTGTTGTGCCAGAGCCAGAACCAGCGAAATTGAAGGCCCCGGCGGTGGTTGGCGCGGCAGCGGGCTTAGAAAACAAGCCGCCAGCGGGAGCTGCTGTGTTGGTCTGCGCCACTGTTGGAGCGCCACCTTGCTTGGAAAACAAACCACCAGTTGTGGTGCCCATGCCGGCGACTGCACCAGCTCTTGGTACCTGCTGCTGCTGTTGTTGCATGCTAGCAAACATACCTCCGGCAGCTGCAGGAGCCCCAGTGCCAGCGCCGGTGGATGCCATTTGAAAAGGACTGGCAGTGGCTGCAGGCTTAGGAGCAGCAGCAGCGGACTGGCCACTAGTGTTGGAGAACAAACCACCCATGGGCGCCGTCGCTGCTGCAGCCCCTGTTGCCGCACCAGCATTGGCGGATTGTGAGAAGAGGCCAGACGGCATTGCCGAGCCAGTTGTTGTCGCCGCTACTGTGCGTGTTGCTGCACCAGCAGATGCTGTCGCTTGTGGCTGCATTGAGAACAGACCCGATCCACCGGTGGTGGCGGCGGTGGCAGTAGGTGCAGGAGCTGCAGTAGCAGCACCACCCATGGAAAACAGACCGGAACTCAGGGCAGGGGCAGCAGCTGTGCCGAGCTGAGGCTGTTGTTGTTGTGTTTGATTGGCCGCCGACATTGAGAACAGACCACCTGGTTGTACAGAGGACTGCTGTTGCTGTAGACCTGTGTTGGACGTGGCAGAAAAACCACTCAAACCTCCGCCCAACGGGGTGTTGGTAGCAGCACCAGTAGCTGCCGCTGTCGTCGCTGCTGCTGCTGCACCCATGCCGAACATGCCGCCTGTCTTTGCTGGTACCTGACCAGGTGCAGTGCTGCTAGCCGCAGCAAGACTAGATGACAGCTGGAGACCAGTGCCAGCAGCAGGAGGAGCAGGAGCAGCAAGACCAGATGACAGCTGGAGACCAGTGCCAGCAGCAGGAGCAGCAGCCGGTGCAGGGGCCTTAGTGGACAACCCACCCAGTCCACTCAGTCCACCAAGCTGTATACCACCAGTGGAATTCTGCGCAGCACCTGTCGAAGGCAGAGAGAATCCCGAGCCCAACGCGCCTGCAACTGTTGGCAGGGAAGCGCCTGACGCGGTGGTAGCTGATGCCATAGAGCTAGTGGCAGCGGCAGCAGTAGTCGTAGCTGAAGATGCCAATGATGATAGACCGGCTCCTGGTTGAGACGAAGCAGGCTTTCCCAAGCCGAGTCCTCCACCACCCAGTGTAAGGCCGCCACCACCTAATGAAAGTCCACCACCACCGCCGATGCCGCTAGGTAATTTGAAACCAGTACTGCTACCACTACCTGCTGCAACAGTGCTGCCTGCGGATGATGACAGTTGGCCGAGAGCACCTGTGACTGAGGTTGTAGAAGCAGCACCCGCGGCACTGCTACCTGCACTCGATGATGACGGCAGCGGTGCAGCAGATGAGCTCAAGCCGCCCAGGACGGAGCCAACAGAGAGCTGTGATGCGGCTGTAGGAGCGGATGTAGCCGCGGCACCAGCGGGCGACTTAGACAGCTGACTGAGTGCAGCAGACAGGCCTGACGATGGCATGGCAGTAGAGCCAGTCACTGACGATCCACCTGTAGACGTACTGCCAGTTCCTAGAGAAAGACCACCACCAGTAGCAGCACCAGAGCTGAGTGTTGACGACAAGGTGGAGCTGGGAGCAGCAGTGGTGGATGCTGCTGACGCAGAGCTTGCACTGGCAGTTGTGGCTGGAACAGGTTTGGCAGTTTTCACCTTGCGGTTAGCTGCCTCTTCTTCCTCATCGTCGTCATCGTCGTCTTGAAGCAAGTACTTAACACGTTGACGAGCAGCTGCACGGTCTTCCTGGATGTCTTCAGAGGTAGGTGCTACCTCTGGTGAATGGCTGCGCTCAATACCAACATTCTGTACCACAATAACAAACACAGCATGGCAAACAATGTCTTGGTCAGACATACAGAGAAGGCAAGCTCAGAAGGAGAGAGAAAGAGAGAAAGACAGAGAGAGAGAGAGAGAGAGAGAGAGAGAGAGAGAGAGAGAGAGAGAGAGAGAGAGAGAGAGAGAGAGAGAGAGAGAGAGAGAGAGAGAGAGAGAAGAGAGAGAGAGAGACCTAGACTGGCACTGCAGGCCAGCAAGACAACAGTAGACTACAGTGAGCTATATGTAAACTGCAGTCTATACAACTGTGCGGCACGAGGCAGAGTCATGGCAATGAATTCCCTTACCTGTGGGCTCGGTCGAGTCAGCAAGCTACTGTCCACAAGAGGTATCTCTCGCAGCTTTGCACCACCAATACTCGTGGCTACTCTCTTTGTGTGTGGCTTTGTTGATGGAGCCTGTATACAATGCAATGCCGCAACAGAAACGCAAAAGAAGAAAAAGCAACCCCAAAAGACTTTGGACAGTGTCGTAAGTAGTAGTTACTAAGTACACAGTGCGTCAGTGGTACTGTTGCCTGTTTAGGTGTCTGCTTCCTCTGGGTAAACCATCACACAACATCACCAACACATGCCAACACACAACATCACCAACACATGCCAACACACAACATCACCAACACATGCCAACACACAGCAACACCAACACATGCCAACACACAGCAACACCAGCACATGCCAACACACAGCAACACCAACACATGCCAACACACAGCAACACCAACACATGCCAACACACAGTAACACCAACACATGCCAACACACAGCAACACCAACACATGCCAACACACAGCAACACCAACACATGCCAACACATGCCAACACACAGCAACACCAACACATGCCAACACACAGCAACACCAACACATGCCAACACATGCCAACACACAGCAACACCAACACATGCCAACACACAGCAACACCAACACATGCCAACACACAGCAACACCAACACATGCCAACACACAGCAACACCAACACATGCCAACACACAGCAACACCAACACATGCCAACACACAGCAACACCAACACATGCCAACACACAACATCACCAACACATGCCAACACACAGCAACACCAACACATGTCAACACACAGCAACACCAACACATGCCAACACACAGCAACACCAACACATGCCAACACACAACATCACCAACACATGCCAACACACAGCAACACCAACACATGCCAACACACAGCAACACCAACACATGCCAACACACAGCAACACCAACACATGCCAACACACAGCAACACCAACACATGCCAACACACAGCAACACCAACACATGCCAACACACAGCAACACACAGCAACACCAACACATGCCAACACACAGCAACACCAACACATGCCAACACACAGCAACACCAACACATGCCAACACACAGCAACACCAACACATGCCAACACACAGCAACACCAACACATGCCAACACACAGCAACACCAACACATGTCAACACACAGCAACACCAACACACGCCAACACACAGCAACACCAACACATGCCAACACACAACATCACCAACACATGCCAACACACAGCAACACCAACACATGCCAAAACACAGCAATACCAACACATGCCAACACACAGCAACACCAACACATGCCAACACACAGCAACACCAACACATGCCAACACACAGCAACACCAACACATGCCAACACACAGCAACACCAACACATGCCAACACACAGCAACACCAACACATGCCAACACACAACATCACCAACACATGCCAACACACAGCAACACCAACACATGCCAACACACAGCAACACCAACACATGCCAACACACAGCAACACCAACACATGCCAACACACAGCAACACCAACACATGCCAGCACACAGCAACACCAACACATGCCAACACACAGCAACACCAACACATGCCAACACACAGCAACACCAACACATGCCAACACACAGCAACACCAACACATGTCAACACACAGCAACACCAACACATGCCAACACACAGCAACACCAACACATGCCAACACACAGCAACACCAACACATGCCAACACACAACATCACCAACACATGCCAACACACAGCAACACCAACACATGCCAACACACAGCAACACCAACACATGCCAACACACAGCAACACCAACACATGCCAACACACAGCAACACCAACACATGCCAACACACAGCAACACCAACACATGCCAACACACAGCAACACCAACACATGCCAACACACAGCAACACCAACACATGCCAACACACAACATCACCAACACATGCCAACACACAGCAACACCAACACATGCCAACACACAGCAACACCAACACATGCCAACACACAGCAACACCAACACATGCCAACACACAGCAACACCAACACATGCCAACACACAGCAACACCAACACATGCCAACACACAGCAACACCAACACATGCCAACACACAGCAACACCAACACATGCCAACACACAACATCACCAACACATGCCAACACACAGCAACACCAACACATGCCAAAACACAGCAACACGAACACATGCCAACACACAGCAACACCAACACATGCCAACACACAGCAACACCAACACATGCCAACACACAGCAACACCAACACATGCCAACACACAGCAACACCAACACATGCCAACACACAGCAACACCAACACATGCCAACACACAACATCACCAACACATGCCAACACACAGCAACACCAACACATGCCAACACACAGCAACACCAACACATGCCAACACACAGCAACACCAACACATGCCAGCACACAGCAACACCAACACATGCCAACACACAGCAACACCAACACATGCCAACACACAGCAACACCAACACATGCCAACACACAGCAACACCAACACATGTCAACACACAGCAACACCAACACATGCCAACACACAGCAACACCAACACATGCCAACACACAACATCACCAACACATGCCAACACACAGCAACACCAACACATGCCAACACACAGCAACACCAACACATGCCAACACACAGCAACACCAACACATGCCAACACACAGCAACACCAACACATGCCAACACACAGCAACACCAACACATGCCAACACACAGCAACACCAACACATGCCAACACACAGCAACACACAGCAACACCAACACATGCCAACACACAGCAACACCAACACATGCCAACACACAGCAACACCAACACATGCCAACACACAGCAACACCAACACACACCCACCAACACAGCAACACACATACCCCCCCCCCCCCCCCCCCCACACCAACACACAGCAACACCCCCCCCCCCCCCCCCCCCCCACACACACACACCAACACACACACATACCATCACCAACACACACCATCACCAACACAGACACCCACAACCCCAGATAGTGCCAGCTGGAGTCCAGTCTGGAGCCAGGTAATATTGCAGGCAAGAAAAGCTACCCTTGCTCATACAGAGTGGTGCTGCAGGGTACAAGGAACTACCCTGCCAGCTCAAGACGATTGATGTAAGCACAACAATATCTGTCAGGTTGACATACAGTGAAGCCTGTCTAAGACGACTGCTCAAGGGACCTTCAAAGTGCGGTCTCTGTAATCAGGTGGTCTCCTTATCCAGGGTCATTTGACTGGAAATAGTGTCCCTTGGTCCTGGTTGCAGTGGTCTTCTGGGCCAGGTGGTCACCTTATCCGAGTGGTCACCTTATCCGAGTGGTCACCTTATCCGAGTGGTCACCTTATCCGAGTGGTCACCTTATCCGAGTGGTCACCTTATCCGAGTGGTCACCTTATCCGAGTGGTCACCTTATCCGAGTGGTCACCTTATCCGAGTGGTCGCCTTGACAGCTTTTACTGTACTACACAATACAAGTTGTTCTTACCTTTGCAGCAGCGTCATCAGAATTCACCGCCTCCTTGTCCTTGCCAGAAGTTGCTTTCTTACTGCTCTGTTTATGGTTGTTGTTAGCCGTCGCCGCCGAGGTACGACTGCTGCTCACCAACTTGTTTGGCAAACTCTTGATCGGTGCCCCGGTGGTGGTGGCAGTGTTCTTGTTGACCAGCGCCGCTTTCTGCTGGTTGGACGCGCTCGCCCTGGTCTGAGGTAGCGGGTCTTCGGTCATCTCAATCTCGTCATCGTCCAGAATGCGCAACGTCCTTCAGCACAAGAGAGCAGGGGCAGAGAAGTTCCCGTACCAGTGTTCGTCTTTCACGGAGAGGCAGTGACAAACGCTCTATGATAACCCTGTGCTAATTTCTGCCAGCTGGGCAAGAAACACAAGCCCTCCAGGGTCTAAAGACAATTTCAGTCGCTATTTTGTAGATGGGGTTTCAGGAATCACTCACAAGAAGGACAATACACGGAATCATTGAAAAAGGGCCGATCAACAATCAAAGACTGCTACATAACTGGGGTTTATAGCAAAATCTGCTATGCAAAAAAATGAGAGTGAACTCATCCACATAGTACAATGTATACCATTCGGATCGAAGACCGTGATAAAAAGTAGACCTAACCTTCCACGGTGGTCAAGACTTTAAGCAGGCTCACACGTACCCCAGTCATTTGTTGAAACTACATTTTCACTGTACATATACCGGTAGAGGGTAATTTATAGGGCTGCAATGGGTGAGAGTTGCGAACACAATTGCGAAAACACCGTCCTCCAACTACCCGATCAGGTTCTCATGAGCAAACTGCTACCCGAACACCCGCTCTAATTACGGGTAGCACAGGTACCATCCCTACTACTCAATGACACCACTTGTAATTTATTGTTTTGATGGCAATTCACAATAATTTCTTAGACTTCTTTTAAAAGTTCTTTACCTTCCTTTTCCAGGTGAAGATGTGGAAGATGAGGCACCGGGTGAAGATGATGAAGCAGGCTCCTTTTCTGCAGGTGCCTCTTCAGACATGCTGGTATCCGAGGAGACAGCATCCTTCTCCGTTGTTTGCCTCTTGCGTGTACCCTCTGCAGTGTCATCGGCTGCTTTCCGCTTGCCCTGCGGTGCAAGAGCACAGCAGCAGCAGCAGCAGCAGCAGAAGTATTACATATTTTACAATATTGTTGTAAAACATGTAAACTAATTTTCGGTGTATTAAAAATTCGGTGTCAGGGACCTGATGGGTTTCAGGTGTAACTTAGAATTAAGTAACCAGCATTCCCTTCACATACAGTGCATACTCCAGTGCCTTTTAGGTGTAATCTAACTTTAGGTGACTGGTTTCTCTACCGAAATCACCGAAAATACTGTGTTTTACAGTACACAGAAGGCAAACTACAGTGCGGCTCAACGGAATCCGATGGAGCGAGTCAAGTGAGCGCCCTGCACCAGTGAACATCCCGGCATGTGCTTGACTCACAAAATCGAATTTCATTGAGCAGCCCTGTACATGTACAAGGACTGCTACCCCATGATCATTAATTTTCATGTTATACCAATGTATGTAAAGAAGCGGGTAGCAAACCAGATTTCCCAGATTTGAAAACGTAGATCTCCCACAACAGAGAGTGTCCATTGAACTACCACTCATCGCAAAGTAACGGAGAGTGAATTGGCTAAGGGGCCGTCTGCAATAATCTTTTTTTTTTTTTACGAAACGAACAAGTTTTGTTTATGGCCGGGTGGGACCCCAGGGTAGCAGCCAGTTTCGTTTTGAAAAATATTGAAACTCTAAGAAATCATCGCGTACCCATGCATGCATGTCTCTACCTAGTACTCGTACATATACAAGCCAGCATTACAAAGATGCCGCCTCCCACGCGGTAGACCGTGCACTATGTCCACGACACATACCGGTACATGTGCTCACATAACATTGGCATGCACCTGTTTTTTCTGCCAAAATGCCTAATTTACGCAGCCAAATCTTTTTGGGAAGCAGGCGAAGAAGGGACCGCTTTTTCGGCCCGGCCTGCCCAACACCAAGTATTACCGAGTGATGGAGGCATTGTGGCAGTGTTGCCACACCATTTTAGCCAAACATCAGCAGGATTAAAAAAATGCATCATCCGGAGCCTTTGGCCCCGGAATCTGCATCATGACTTCTAAACCAAGCAGAAGGTCAAAATTGAACATTTTCATGGCTGTTGTCGGCAGGAGAAGGTCAACTGCCGGCAGGTCGTGACATGCCTCCAAAATCGGCAGGCTACTGACATGTTGGCAGGTGTGGCAACCCAGCAGAAAGCAGTTCTTGGCTGTTGCTCAACGAGAATGGACACTACTCTACAAGCACGATGCCGACGCAAGGAAGTCACTGATGGATAGAGCAGAAAGGTTGGCGAGCGCTGACAGCAAGTCGACGAAATCATTTCTGCGTGATCGTGATGTGCCTCCATCGGAGAGTTGTGCGAGCGCTTCTCCGCCTGTGTGCATGTCCGCTCCTGAATTTTCGAGGCCGCACAAAGCCACGATTGAGAAGCTCCTAGCAAAGTTGAAAGTTGACAAGTGCAGAATTTTGACACAGGATGTCACCGCCAAGGTTTCGCTGGTGTCGCTGCTTGACGAAGTCAGCCAACTAATTGGACTTAAAGCTATCGATATCCTCTGTGGATACTGGGACAAGCTGACGTTTTATAGCCAAGCTGTCATGCCTAGTGGTGTACCCAGCACGGACTGTGAGGAACGTGATGGAGACCACGAGGACCTGGCTACTTTCGTCAAGTCGTCACGATGTGTCATTGAACGAGATGCAGCAATGCAGGAGACTCGATCACTGCTGTCATTTCTCTGCAGGCATGTTTCACGCTCCACGTACCAGACAACCTTTCTAAAGTGTGACGATGATAGCTGTGAACATTGCGTTGCCCATCCTGTTGAGGCTGTCAAAGCTGTTAATCTTCTTCGTTCTTACGGTGGCGGTCTGTTCACGTCTACACCCAGTGTGCCAGTGCACATCTTGCTGGCCACTAGGCACTATTGTACATAGCTAGCATGCCGCACTTAACATTCTCTAGGCAAAGCACAGCTACTGCTTGATTCTGGTTTACCGTCTGGTGAGCCAGATCGCTGCCAGTTTGGTTGCAGCTACGTCTTTACGTCTGTCCGATGCTGAACCGTCATGTGTGCTTAGTTCATCTGGTCAACTGGAAAGAGTATAGGAAGGCCTCAAACGAGACATCCGCCAATTCGTCAACTGCCGAGGCTTCAGCTACCGCATCACAAACCGTGACATCAGCAGCTGAGTCATTAGCAGCAAAACGGGTGTGCCATCGTCGCAAGTATGACGGCTGCAACATGGCATTTACCACCAATTACCAGCTTCAACAGCACCACAAGGCGGAGGGACACCAGCTGAAGAGTGGTCGCCCGTCCAAAAAATGAGCTGAAAAACCGAACAGATGGCCAATTTTGCAAAAAAAATGACGTTTTGCGCATAGATGGTGTTGTTTAGTGCACACGTCAGAAGGCTCTTTGTGTGCTGTGAACAAAAAATAAAGATCAATTTCTGCACAATGTCTCAAGGCAAATCATTTTTTCGTTTCAGGAGGAGGGTGAGTGGGGGTGGGTCATAGCTAAACTTTTTTCATTTCGTGAAAAAGATCCGGATGACCCCTAACCGTATCGGCAAGAGTACATAAACCAGAGTGTGCAACTGTGCATATCAGATCTGAAACAGCGCAGTTCGTGCACTACGTCACCCTGATGAGATCAGCCAAGCCGCGACTTGCGTAGAGCTCAAATTTTCATGTTTCATAGCCCGGAAATCAGCCAAGTTTGCTTGATTTTAGACGTCCTGTTTCAGGATTTCGGTGTTTTGTGTGACTGTGTACGCTGCGTACATCCACCGACAAGTAAAGTCACCAGGCTATCCGTCTCAAAAAACTGAAATCAGGACAAACTCAGTGAACTGCACCACCGCGACTGGTTACGCAACTTTTCACCGTACCTGTGGCTTACCATGCCGTCAGAAATGACGTAGTGCACGAATTACGCTCCCACAGGAGCCATCCCGAGTTGCACACTCTGGTTTATGTACTCTTGGTATCGGGGAAAAAAGGCGAGCTGTACCTTGCTTTTGGATTTGGGCGAGCTAGCACGCTCCTCGGTCGATTTGTCTCGCTGCTGCCTTGCCTTCTTCACATCGCGTGATTTATCCACACTCTCTGACACATCGGCTGGCCGCTTCTTACTGATCTTGCTCGAGTCAGTTCTGCAAAGTCGAAAGTGCACACAGAGAAAAGAGAGAAAAGAAATGATGCACAAAGTCACTTTCTTCCAGATCAACTTGTCCAATCACAAATCTACAACAAAACACGATAGAAAGAAAAAACTACAAATCTCAAGCTATTCTTCACCATCATCAGCAATAAGATCTCCGAAATTCATGAACCAGTTTTCGGGCATTCTCTTCAAACGAAATACACGTACAAGCAACCAGAGCCAATGAAACATACTTGAAGTACTTGGATAAGTAGCATCACAAAAAAAAGGCTGGTAACCATCACAACTAGGTGATAGCAGTTTTCCTTTCCCTGATAAGCTTCCTGTCTCCAAGAAAGTTAAAACATGATAGCATAGCCATACCCATTGGTCAGAATGTTCTATTCTCCCGTGCCACAACTGGGCAGAGTAGGATAAAAATGGGCGGTAAATGGCATTACAATGTACGGATATACAGTGCGTATCGGTTATAGCGTGGTCGTGTAAAAGAATATACTGCCTACAAGAATGAACTCTCATGTTTTCATAATCATAACATGGATTTCAAGTGCACATTTATTCTTACAAGCAATTTTATCCCATAGTAGAATACATCGGTCCTAAGAATGGACTTTGTGTAGCGAAACATGCCAGATTAGTACAAAGTGTATCGCCTGTTACTGGCTGTAGTTATAACATCTGTCCAATTCCGTTCTGATCTGACTCTCGTTGCGTCGCAGTGCTGCAGATTCAACTGTTATGGTCATGTAACTCATTTTGCATAGCCACATGGTAAGACTATGGGACTATGACCAGCCACATGCACAGAAGTACTGTCACCATGTACGATGATCTTCCTGCCCATGCGCACATGCATGTGATATGCCACACTTGATTTATTGAGTGTAAGAAATATCGGAAATAAGAATAGAAAGTCGTTTTTCAAACACCCACGCTATAACCGATACCTACTGTACACATCCGTATTATTGGGTCTTACCGAATTTTCTTGGCAAGCTGTTCGCTGTCATCGTCATCAGACGATGCGCGCTTTCTGCAGTCAAGACAACACGTAAAGTACGATGACGAAATACACACGGACAAACTATTTATAGTATTGCCAGGAGAAATGAACTATTCTCCCATTGCAAACAATGCCATACAAGTATGTGTGAGAACCTGAGGGCATTTGAGAAATGCCACCACCAACGCCACACACTCAGACTGCACTTTTGTCACACGCTTGCCGCTCAGCTGCAGCTGTGTGTCATGCCTCATGGTCCATGGTCTCCATACCAACAGACTGCTCACATAATTGTGCCAATCAAGAATACCCGGTGTACATGTACTGTAATGCAGCAGCATCCATGGAGATTTACCTGCACTTTTGCTTGAGTGCCGCCATGACAGTCTCCTTGGCAGCCGGATTGGGAGCTGGCTCACTGTAGGAGAGGGCACAGAGACAAGAGTGAGGTAGCACAGACACCATGAATAAACATAGTTATACAGTACATGTACCGTAAAGTCCGCTGCAAACGCCCACCCCGTTTTTGCAAGATCTGCTGGCCTGTGCACACTGACCCCATGCACTGTCACCCCTACTGTACGAAAGTGCATCTCACACCGTAGTGCGAAGAGGGCTTTGCTACGGTAAACTATGTCCACTTTCCTGGTTTCAAAGAATCTTTGGGCACTAGCTACGAGCTAGCTCCTAGTGATTTTATGATGATGGTTGTTTTATTGCGCAAATCCAAACGGTAGTTTCTTCCGAATAACAAGGTAGTGAAGAACAGAGTATTGCAGGAACCTTTTAAAATACACTTCTGACGGTGTTTGAAGCCATCATTTCCAAATCACGCATCACGCAAAGGCAAGGGTTTTTCTCGAGCACTTCAGAGTTTTCAACAAGTTAGCAGCGACTTTGTAGGTGCAGCTTCTGTGACATCCCCCCTGTTCGACTTGCAACTGCAATACGGCGACAGGTCAAGTCGTTAAATGACGCCTCGTCAGAACAATCACCATTCCGTTCTGAAAGCGCGACATCGTGGCAATGCAGAATTTTCATGATTTGAAAACCAGATGGACTCTGGGGCATCACCACATGGACAACGAAGTAAAAACAAAGACATTTATCGAATGAAGGGAAATCTCGACAGAAGTTTATCTTTGCAGCAAGATAATGACAATCGCTTTTGCACAGCCTCCTGGTAAGACATAGGCAGTTTGTAGGCATTACAGTCGTTCTCGTACGCATTCGACCTTCATGCCAGTTGTTTACAACTATATTGACCTGAAAAAGACGAAAATAGTATGGACCTGCTGGGGTGGGCGTTTGCTGCGAAGTGGGCGTTTGCAGCGGACTTTACGGTACATGACATTGTGCACGCATAGATGTGCATACATACAGGTCTGGTTGTGGAGGGTCAGTGCAATGGGGGACCAGCGGGGAGCGTAGCTACCTGTGCAGAAATGCCCTCACATACTGACAGTGCCACACGCTACAGCACAGGTCAGCATCAGCCCAGTAAACCCGTGTCTACACTGTGTCACTCACACAACACAGTCAACAGACACTTACAAGTGCCCTACACCAGTACCATGCATACACACTACGTGTACGATGCCACGTAATTGATGATAACACAGTGGGCAAGGCATACAAACCAGATCACACACAAAATACTTCACACATAGTATTAAGATTGCAAACTAGTCTTAATTTAACTAGATAATGTACAGGAAGTATCCACAAGCTCTTCATCCCATTCTCCTCGCAGCAGTAAAACAGTCACACAGTCACACACTGATTACGAGGCAGTACAAGCAAGAGCAAACCAACACTCCAGACCTGACACGGAGCATTAGACGACTCCAGGCAACTCTACTGGAGTACAAAATATACCTTTCTTTGCTGATTGACACCGGAGGACGAGATGGTGGTGCCACACGGCTCATGACTGGACTCGCCACCATATCGGACCTGCCCTGCGTATTCAGCGCGCGGGAGGCAACCGCCACAAGGCTTCCTTCTAGGCCTGCTGCTGCAGATGCTGCTGCTGGCATGGCTGGTGATGCTGCTCTGTCGACAGACAGATGTGATACAGGCATGCTAAGCTGGCTGCTGGACTGGAGGCGAGCAAATGCTGCCTCCTGTCGTGATGGCAGGGGAGCCGGTGGCACAGGGGAGAGTTCGGCCGTGCGCCTTCGCATGAACGGTGGCGACTTCCTGCAAGCACACACACAGACACAGTGCACGCACACGCAGACACACACACATCACACACACACACACACGTGCGCACAGACATGCACACGCACACACACACACACACACACACACACACACACACACACACACACACACACACACACACCTGCTGTTCATGTACAGTATTTCGTGAAACCGTTTTCACAATGCCTACGCATGCTATTCATTGATTACCATACTTGCTCCGTCACTAGCAGCCTATCATGAACTAATCTTGAGTACCTGAGAGGATCGAAAACACCTCCATTCCCGGAACAGACTATCAGCTGCACTGACTAAGTGAGAAAAATAGCCAATAATTCGCCCATAGGGCATCATCAGGGCATCGATGAGGAAGAGGAGGCAAAACATGGTACCAGTATATAACTACAAACAATACAGCCAGATGAATGCTCTACAACTCACACATCCCGGTCATGCAATTGGCAAAGAAACTAAACAGTCTTCACTTGTAAGGTGACCATTGGAAGAGAACAGAGCGAAAGAAGAAAAAACTATCACAGCACATACAAGAACAGTGCCAAGTGTGGGAATGCTAAAAGTGATGTGTGTATGTGACAAGTACACTTGCAAAGTGTGTGTATTTGCTGTGTCAGGTGGGAAAGTGCAGTGGCAATTCGAGAAGATGGGTGTTGATATTATCCAGTGACGATCCTGTGAAAACCAGGGAGTAGTAAAAAAATGTATTTTACTACTCCCTGGTGAAAACTGATCAACTAGGTGGCAACTGTCAATGCCATTGTTGAATAAGCCTCTTATACGGGCGATCACAGAACATGATATCACTGGCCTGACACAACAGTTACTAAAGAAAAAGCAAAACAAAACAAACAAAAAATTTTAATAAAAAGAAAATGAAACTTGACAATCTGCACACATTGACAACTGTCAATGCAATTGACTGCCGGTTTGCGCTTCCGGTTTAGACAAAAACAAAGTATCCTGACACTTTGTTGGCCCCCCTCCCTTGACAGGTAGACAGTAGTAGAAAGTGTGTGTTAGAGGGCACAACTTCAAGAACCCCTGGCTGCACACTTTGAAGGACAGACTGTAGTGAACATCACCCCCACGGCAGCACACAGATGGCGTACATACAAGGTTGGCAGTACTGACATGTTGCCAATGCCCCAAATAGTCATAGCTATTTATTGCTAATATTGGTAGAGCATCGCTAGCCATAAGCAAGGGTCACTGGTTCGAGTGCTGGTGGTTACAGTCCATTTTTTCTTCAGACTTTTACCGTTTGCATCTTTCCCTCAAACCAGTGAATATCTTATGACTTGGGGCTCCCTGCATGCTAGTTTGTACGTGAAGTGTGTGTGTGTTACAGTGAGGGCTGCATCCCACCCGCCTCTGTGGATTCACAGGAAGCGTGAGTTTCGAAGTCTGAAGAAAATGCTGAACGGTCGCTGCTTAATCGGTGACTACACCATAGCTGAGCCATGCTAATCGGGTGCACGCTGCTATGTCAACCTGGACCCGAATTCTGCACCGGTGTACAGTCAACTTTGCATATAACGACACCAGGCGGGTCATTAGAAAAGTGTCGTTATACCCGAAGTCTCATTATATGTGTACAGGTAGATGGGACTTTGCCCTGGGCATGGACATTCTGTCGTTATTCGCGAATTGTCGTTATATCCGCAGTCGTTATTAGCGAAGTAGACTGTATACCCAAAAAGAACTACAAGCACACTAGGTTCACAGACACTCACCCAAATTCTAATTTTCGACTGAGGGGATCAGCTCGCAAGACTGGCCTCCTGAGCTGTGAAGCGGCCTGCTGCACATTCGTAAAGGCAGCCCCTTGGCCGACAGCATTACTGCCACTCTGCATGACGTCATTATTGGTAACAACAGCAGCAGCAGCCCTGCCAGCAGCACTAGCTGCAGGCAAACCAGACTGACGAGCAGCAGGCACTGATGCAGTCTTGCCGTCTGCAAACTTTAGGGACGATGCCTGGGCTCCTTGCGTCTTTACCACTTTGGCAAACAGACGATGAAAATAATCGCGTCGTGATAAATAGAATGAAAATACTCCTCCACAAAATAGCAGCACGCAAGCCGCAGCACAGTAAACATTCCAAGAAGGAAGACCAAGGAAAGTTCCAAGCACACCTAATGCTGCAGCCCCAAAGGACACCAATGGCGACACCTTCCCCTGAGCCATGACAATTATTTTTACCTTGAATGGTCTTTCATTTTGAAAACACTCAACAACAGAAAATAACCAGATCCGGATACTTCTACTCTTTCTCGTTTTTTCTCTACTTTTTCGTGTGGGTGGTTGTTTTCGAACTGCGTGGGATCAGGGATCGCGGGACCTCATCATCCGCCTCAGCGCAGACCTGCGTTTCCATGGTGAAACCCGACACAATCATAATCGATCCCGGCACGGCCGGATCGATCATTCATGCATACACTGTACTCGTACTCGTCATAGACGAGGTATATTAGAGAGGTTCCGCATAACGTAATTACGTTAGTAAAAAACGTAGTCGATCTACGGAAAGTCTTACGTAAACTGCATGCGCATCTGTGTTCCGCCATACGGAGTTTTCAAATCACGTAGCTGCCCTTGGCAACTCCGAACGCGGCAGTGTACGACCAGATCGACCTGGGGAGAGAGTCATAAATTTGTACCCCAATCCACTTACGGACCAGCTACGTTATCAGAGCCCTATCTACGTACTCTACGTAGACAACTTTCCGTAAGTGGAGTGCAAACTCGCGAATTCACGGGTTTTCCCCGCCCACTAACGTAAAGTTGCTCAACTTTACGTAGTGCGGAACCTCTCTATTATGTATCAGATTGCAACGACCAGGAGGCCCTAAGTAGTGGCTGCAAATGACCGATATCCGTCACTTGCAGCTCTGCATCAGAGACCTGTAGCTGGCCTGAAGAGTTGTAAAATTACTCCTTCGTAGCCGGGCGAGTCAGAGCGAGGGCGATTCACGGCTTGGTCAAAAAACTGTCGGCCTGGAACGTAAACGTCGATCTGCCGACACAGTTCACCTGGTTCACACGCCTGACCTGGCATGCTGCCTTGCGTGAAAGGAACATTTTTCCGAAAGCAAGCTTCTTCTCCAAAATTCGAAATTTCCTTCCAAAAATGCCGTCGTCCTTGACCTCGAAGCTGAATGTTGTTAGGATAGAAAATTAGCGAAGATGTAGCCGACCCATTCTGGCAAGCCGTGTGCCCTCTGGATATGCAGTTGTTCGCCATGGTCAACAATCTTCTTCTCCTTCGTTCGTACTTTCACTTTCCTGACCACGAATACAAGCGGTACCCATGCTCAGGTTAGTGTTTATTTGTCTGTCTATGCACATACATGTACATGTATTACAATGTACTGTTCGTGCTGCAGGCACTGGCCGATCATGGAAATAGAGGAAGCAGCCAGCTTTCTTTGAATTCTCGTGCTTTCAACAAAAAATATGTACACACTTTCCTTGGCTCCTCTTTCCCACCGCCACCATGCATGCACAATCGAGCTTGCTTTAATGCCCTGCAGTGCAGAATGCTCCCACCACCGCAACTACCACCGCCGCCACCACTACCAGCAGCAGCACCACCACCACCACCACCACCACCACCACTGTGACCACCACCACCACCACCACTGTGACCACCACCACCACCACCACCACTGTGACCACCACCACACCACCACCACCACCACCACCACCACCACCACCACCACCACCACCACACTACCATCACTATAGAAGCATTGTCGTGCACGGCACGTCTGCAAGAGAAAATAATAGTACGCCAGTGTGGAAATGCCCTGCAGTGCAGTATGCTCCCGCCACCACCACCACCACCACCACCACTATGGAAGCATTGTCACGCACTGTACATCGATCCACAAGAGAAAATATGCCAGTGACTTACTAGCACCTCCATGCTGCATGCGGACCTGGACACAGCACTGTTCCCTCTGCAGGAAAGGGGGCGGGGTGTATTTCATTGTCCCTGCTTGAAGTAATAATGACTACATGACAAGATGTCCAGCTAACTTTGCCAGTAACGAACGACCCTTGATCGGGCATGAGAAAAGTGTTGCTATTTGGGAGTTGGCGTCATTCACGGGGTTGAAAATATACGGCTATATTGTTTCTAGGTCTGAAGATAGTTTCACTATCTGTGGGTTGTTATACCCGTGGTTGACTGCAGATACGTTTGGATTATTCTATGAGTATGTGAAGGGTATACGTTAAATATTTTCCCGAGGATATAGCACGAGGAAATTATGGGGAATGCAGTACATGTATAGAATGGTGCAATCCACTTCTCCCAGGGCACTTTCCCAAGACTCCTTCCAATATTCACTCTTGGCGCGACCCATGTGAACTGAGCGGGGTGTATCGTTGAATATACTCCTCTCAGAACGTCTACTAATTGGCTGAAATCGCCCAAATCATACCGTGCCATGGATCAATGCATGTCAGGGAGTCGTAGCACCCAAGGAAACAACACGAGATCATGATACCCAAAATGATGTACTGTAAAAGCGGAAATTTTCAATGGTGTTTTATTTTCGGTAACTTCGGTGCCGACAATTTTTACCGAAAAAATGCACCGAAATTTTTCGGTACTACTTAGTAGTGCTAGCACCCTTACCTGGAAAGCGGGTATTACCGAAAATTTCCCTCCACCGAACCACCGATTTTGGAGAATTATTACACCATCAAAAATGTCTGCTTTTACAGTACACAGATTGGATCCATGGAGATTCTACATGATCCGTGGTTTATGCAACTCGTGATCGCGGACTTGACCCACTGGCCCCCAGCATGGGTCAGTCAAGCGATGCTATATGCGAGCATGTATGTATCGCACTTGCCCCTCAGGCAGTAAGGGCAACTGTCACTGGCAGCCCGGGGTTGAACCCACATTATTAATTTTTGAAATTTTCTAGGGTGACACGAAAAGCTTCACGCACTGGGTGGTCACTCTCTATTCATGTATACCACTCTGCCAATAGTGCATAGAGCTCTCTTTTGAGCTGCCCAGCTGGCCCTCGTTATGATTTAGGCTGAAAGTCTACCGTGCTGTCTCCCTTATTATTATTTATGCTATGACTCCATAATGCATATTATCAAGAGTACATAACCCCCCAGAGTGTGCAACGCCGATCCAGCTCTGCATAGGGTCTTGGTCGAGCGGAATCGGATCTTCTGATGTCATGCGTACACTCCACACCAGCTCAAGGCCGGTCTCGAGGCAGGGCACCGTTGTTTTTGATCCAAGAGTACCCGCGACTCCCCGGGTTCCCCTCAGATGTGTACGGTATTATGACGCAAAGATCCGATTCCGCTCGACCAAGACCCTATACCTGTATACAGAGCTGGATCAGGCGTTGCACACTCTGGGGGGTTATGTACTCTTGATATTATGTACAGAAGAAAAAATCCCGGGGCTCCGTTGATGAAATTCTGTTTTGTCAAGTGGGCATTTTTGATTATTGTGAATGGCGTGTAGTGCCATAGTACAGTTCCTTTTGCTACGTAACGTTTGCACAAGTCACGTTTCAGCAATTGAACTAGGAAGATCTATGTCTCTGATCTTGTCACTTGGCCCGGCTGGTACTGTGCATTAACAACCATTGTCAGGCACCCTCGAAAGACCAACAGCGATGAGTTCATGACCCAAGCATTATTTGGGCCGTTAAGTTGACTAAACGGGAGTGTAGCAAGCTTTGATCGGCGTACTTCCTTCCGTACGTAGTGAAATGTCCGAGCTGAATAGATTCTATCTCCTGCGGTTTAGTACAATAGTTCCACACCTAATACTGTAGATTCGACGTCTCCAAGAAAAATCTCCATGGAGACTGGAAACTATAGCAGATCATAAATGACGCAGCAGCTCAGCTGATTCCCTAGCTCGTGTCTAGGTTCATGTACTTTGGTCAACGTGTTGTGGCAGACTCCATGTGCAAAGCTGCATACTCTTGGGGTTATTGATTCTTGCTTATAATTCATGCATAGATATGAACATCATAATAATTGAATGTTGGCAAGACCCAACAAGGTGTCCCTTAGATCAGATCTTCACAAAATGCACATACTGTAAGACATGTATATATAACGAGGAAGCAAATCTAACGTTTTAACGGATGACATTTCTTCGTTATAATAGATCCATTGAGGCCGTACTGCTTCATATATGCTGTGTGTGTATATGGCAGAATACTGCAAGATTGTTAACATATCTTCTCGTTAACCTATGAATTTTGGACAATCGTTAAATGTGCGACTCGTTATAATAACATGTCTTACAGTACATCTTGAAAAGCCGTATTTTGGTTTCACATACACGTCTCATTTCTATCACAGAGATCAGCCGCCATGGGCCATTGGTGGCAATACTGGTAGGAGTCGCCCGAGGCTTAGCCAATAAATTCCGTTCTATACCCAATATACATACCCGAACTGGGCACAAATCTATCCCATTCCTTGGTGCTGACCCCTTTGATGCGCCCCCGAATCCCTTAGCATTATTAGTACGTCCAATTCATTTCGTGATCAGCTCACCGCATGCTCAGTACTGTGTTGTAAAGTATGCAAATTTCCGACGCTTTTAAATTGCAGCCTCCCCAGGGCAAAAACACATCTCGGCCACATTGAAATTTCAGCCTGTACTGCTGATGCCTGTATGCACTGTCACGTTGAACCTTGCAAAACGAATTTTAGGCTACAAATGCCCAGTAAATAAAAGGGGAGAAGGCACTGAACGAAGCGTCAACCTACGAATACAACCTCAGTGCAACAACGTGCTCTTTCTCTTTCTGCTTGTGTAAGCAGAAAGAGCATGTTGTTACACTGAGGTTGTATTCGTAGGTTGACAGTTTGTTCAGTGCCTTCTCACCTTGGGTTACGTAATCTTGTTACCTTTTGCGTTTCCTCTAGTAAATAAAAGGGGGGTTGTCAAATGACAACCGCTCTATTCAGTTGCTATTCACTCCTGGCGCATGCGCTGGACGAAAAATTCTTTTATTAGTGATGTTGAAAAAGTATGCGGTTGTCACTTGACAAACCTCCTTTTATTTACAATTTAGTTGCGTGATGTCCACCACTTTCCGAATTAAAAATGCACAGGCCGTTAATAGCCGAAAATAAAATATGCGCCGAATATGCAGTACCTTGCGCACTCTGTTAGAAGACATTAGGGCTACTGGGAATGAATGCCCAAGTAAAATGATGAAGTACAGTAATACAATACTATAGGGAGTGCATTTG